CAAATGCTTCTATCCCTGTCGCAACCACTCAACTCCATCTAGTGGTTGCCTCTTGTAATGGCACTTACCACAGTCTAGTCAGCTGCGGGCTGATCAGGCTAATCAGCCTGGCTACACGCCTCTCACAGCCTGGGCGTTGGTTAGTTGTGCTCTATTTAAGCATCACAAACCCAGGGCTCTGGGCTTTTAATAGTTCCAGCCTTGTCTTGTCTTTGTGTTGTCTACACAAACCTGTATCCTGATCCTGAATCCCAGTACTGCCTTGATCTTGAAACCCAGTCTTGTCTTGGATCTTTAATCCTATACCTGTCTTGTTTCTTGTATCCTGTACTTATCTTGTATTAGTTCCTGTCTTGTATTTGTTTCCTGTTCTTGTCTTGTGTCTAGCTTTCTGTCTGTCTTGTACCTTGACATCAGTCAGAACTTCTTCTTGTTCCTGGGGGCCAGCCTATGGCTTCACCTGTTCAGAGCATATAGTTTAAGTCCTGGGGGCATCTAGGTACCAGTAGGCTTGCTTGCCTTATGGGAACGGCGGCTACTAAAGGTGAAGCAACTCGTCACTATTTGTTCTGACAGCGTGCGTACTGATAGCACCAGGTTACAGCAATAGCTTCATCTATTATTTTCTTGAAACCTTGTCTTCTAAATAGCACTAAATCTGAGCCTCTGAAAACTATGGCCAGTATGTTTACAGGTTCAAGTAATGCCACTTCTCTGAGTCAGCTGTGACCTTCCACAATTTTGAGTTTCTGGGGGATGCACCACTCAAAATCATACAAAGATAGACTGCAATACCACCCATAAGCACAATGAACAGTCTAATGGAAAGGACTATGAAAAAAATCAGTTAAAGTATGTGGAATCTATGACCTTGGCAAAGTTACAACTATGACCTGCCATGAGGGAAATATGTGCTCTACTTTTTTTTCCAGAATATAATATTGTTGCATCTCTATTGAGCCAATAAAAGCCCTCCATGTGCTCTACTATTGCTGACCTTCTCCTAAAGATTCTAGTTTCCTGGCTGTAATGTTGACTGCGTGGAAGTCACTAAGAGTTAGGAAACTCAGGAAAAGTCTGTAGTCTTGTTATGTGCCCATGGCTCAAATTTTTGAAGCAAGACAGCCAAGAGCATTTTCAAAAGGAGAGGTCAGCAATGGCACGGACCGCGCTGCTTCCACAAGTTTCCTTTAATATTCCATAGTAGGTTGTGTACAAAATGATAACATTTATTTCCCACACATAGGTGGCCTTGTCTTTGTGCAATCTGTTTGTGTCCACCCATAGGCATGAGATAATTTTGTTTGTATCATGTCATCTGCAGGTACACACTTTTTCGACAGAGTGCAGTCATATATTTGGTTTTGTAAATAACTTTAGGCACTCTCTACCCCAACCTGTCATTCTATCTCCCACACTGACTGCCTTTAGGAGATCCCTTAAGACTCATCTCTTCAGGGTAGCCTATCCCACCTCACCCTAACCACTGAACAATCACTTTCTCAAACAATCATCCCCACGCAGCTACCTCCTCATGTATCACTTGCCCCTCCCTTTTAGATTGTAGGCCCTCCTTACCATCTTGTCTTAAATTGTATTGTGACTGTAATGTCTTCCTTATATTGTTAAGCGCTGTACAAACTATTGGCACTATATAAATCCTGTATAATAATAATAATAATAATAATAATAATAATAATCTGTGTAAATATTAGGGCTGAATTTAGTCCCATTTGGGTCCTGGTAGTGCTTAAATGCAATGTTAAGCTTGAAAATAGAAAATCTGTATAAGTGCTCATATGAAATGTTTTTATGTATCTTTTTGTCCTTTTATTGAATAGAAATCCTTACAATTACCTTCAGTGGCATGGCACACCAAAGACATCTTTCATTATTTGCAATATGAATTCTGTCATGAATGGGTCTCTATCACACTACTTGTTTCTTCCTCCATGTTTCCCCTCTGCTATACAGTATTTACAGTGGAGTCACTTTTCATTCTCTCAGTAGCTGCTCTCTATAAGTGGGACATTCACCTCCAGGCTTTGAGAAATGAGAAGATTTGCCGTACAAGCAACCTGTAAATCATAGAGCAAGCACAGGGATGTAGCCCAAAGGAACAATTTTTCTGTACAAAGTGACTGTTATCAGTAAAGACAGACTTTTCTAACGTGCAGAAATTCTGTTGTGGCTGAGTTTCACTAAAAATGCAATATTTAAGTGAAATGCTATTAAAGTCAAAGGCATTATCAACAGGGCACCCTGTGTCCATCAGTACTATAATTACACTACTTGACACCTACTCTGCAGTTCTGAGAGCAGCACACAGATTCAAATGAACATACAGAAATACAAAGCTTTGTGCATAATAGTGTCATAGCTAGGTAAACAGACCCTGCTATAGCTGAGAGAAAAGTTAAGAGATTCTTTGTCATCTGCCGTAGACAAGGTACAGAATCTAGGGAGTGCTCACTATTCATCAGTGGTACCCCGCAGAGCGAGTTTGATCCTGGCACTGTGCAATTCCCAACTTGCAGCCTTTGCAATTGCCCAGTTGGCAACATCTGACAGACATACCAAGCAAAAGACGTGTAGTTGTGAATGGGCCAGAGGTCAAGTTTGACATCAGGTAGACATAGGCCAAAACCAGTCAGAAAACAGGAAAAGGCCAGTTCAGGCAATAGAGGGACATTAAGCAGCTCCAAATAAAGGCCATCAAAAAGCCAATCAAGGACCTTTGTTGAGGCCAGGTTCACACTTGGTCGATCTGTGACCGTGCCGCAGTCGTGCACAAAACCACTGATCGCGCTGGTGGTGCCATTCTTTTCTAAATGCACCCCAGTCGTGCCAGGCCGATAGTGCAGTGTCCCATCACGAATCTGCCCGTGCAGTCACGTGTGATCCCGGCTGAAGAAAACACGCGTCGCTAAAAAAGGTACATGTACCTTTTTTCAGTGATTGCTGCGTGGATCTAACCCCATTGATTATCATTGTGCGGCAAATGCTGTGTGCAACCACACATGAATGCGCGGGCCTGGGACGCGCATCCAGGGATAACCAAAGTGTGCATTGGACCCGAAGCACTTATGCAGTGCCCTGAGCTACATTTCAACTAGTTAACCTTTGATGTAACAGACATGTTGAAAGCTTGCATGCAAACAATTCTGCATATCAGTCAGTAGATGGTGTATGTCTATGGATGGCTGTCTGACCGGTTTACCTATAAAACAGAGGAGAGAGGCTGGTTCAGAAACAAGGGGGCCACAGGTCTGCCACTAGAGTAGTATATTTTCTATTTGTTTATATGAATGAGGTGATGGATTTTATTTCTAATCATTTGTTCTGGAATGCTCAGACCCTTGTAAAAACCCTCTGTAACCTGACACAGATGTTCGCTGTTCATTACATATCAGATCAACTCTCCAAACATCCATCCATAGGCATTAAACAATTGTTGTATGAAGATGGATGCTGGTGATCTCAGACCTCAGCAGACACAGTTGGAGTCTGTAAATAGTCTGTCATGTTATTTGCACCTGTTCTCTGTATGTTAAATTTTTTTCTATGTCTGTGGGAATTGAGTTACAGATTACATAGATATCTGTGTTTTTTCTGGACTATTGTGTGCATTCATTGCGTAGTGTAGAGTGTCTTGTCTTTTGTTTCCAGGATTGTACTTACACAAGACAATCAAAATGTACTTTATGCCATAAACCCATAGACAATTGATGATTGCCTGATCTCCTTGGAAATGATCACTAAAAATAAGACAGAATGTAATAGCTGTACAACGATCACTCCTGCCAGTAAATGTGATCAAGGTATGTGTTCTGAGTCACTCACGGCAGGCTTTCTATTCATTAATACAAGTCTGCCGTGATTGACTCAGTGCTGAGCCAATCAGTGCTGAGCCAATTCATTAATACAAAGCCTGTATGAATGAATAGAAAGCCTGCCGTAATTGGCTCAGCGCTGAGCCAATCACGGCAGGCTTTCTATCCATTAATACAAGCCTGCCGTGATTGCGCTGCGACCCGTGATGCTGCCGTGATGGCGACCCGTGATGCTGCCGTGATGGCGACCCGTGATTGCCGTGATGGCGCCGCGACCCTCTGCAGAAGGGCTCGCGACCCACTTTTGGGTCGCGACCCATGAGTTGAGAACCACTGATCTAGAGGTTTGGCCTGAAAGCTGAACCACTAGATCATGCAGGTATATGAAAGAATCTGATAATAAACGAGCCTACCATCTCTTAGATTGGGAGATTCGATCTAAAAATGTTAGGCCAGGTTAAATACTCATTGAGGTTGACTTGCTAAAGAAGTAAAGACCAATCACTTTCAATCAGTCATATGCTAGTAAATATGCATTTTCTAGAAAAAAATCTCTTGCATGTGATTAGATATTCAAAACAAATTCAGGTTCGCCTTATTTACTAAAATTCACTTTGCAAAGTGAACATACAATTGGCTAAGTAAACAGCCTCTACTCTTTTAGTAAATTAACCCCAAACTCTTTCATATTTAGTATTAAATGTAGCATTACATTCAAATGATTTGGATTCGAAGATTAGCTGGATGATTATGTGAATGTCCCCTCCACAGCACTTTCAGCCTTGGAGAAAATGTTCAACTTTTCACAGTCAATTTACTCTAGTTAATTTACTTCAAAATCATTGGAGTAAATTGATTGTGTTCAAAAAATGGCACAATTTTAGCATAAGTAGAAAAGATGATTGCATTTTAAAACTGTTTTCTAAATTAGGCATGAAAAGTGTTTGATGTATTAAAAATTATGTGTATTCATTTTATAGATAATCCGGTGAATGGTGTTTAAAGTTATAGCTGGGTCTTCATCTTATTACATGTATAATACGGTCTTTTTTTTTCTTTTGTAGATTAGATATTTAGTCTTGTACTAGAGATTTTAACATCATTTTTGTATGCTGTGAAAAATGAGTTTTTTGACCATAAGCCACATTTCTTTTAATGTTCTTGCAGGATGAATGTGAGCAGAAGCTAAGTGTTGCAATACCAGCATTTAATGCAGCAATTGCGGCACTGGATACACTGAAGGCCAGTGATATTGCTCTGCTGAAAACTATGCAAAACCCACCCTCGGGAGTTCGACTTACTCTGTCTGCAATTTGCATTCTAAAGGTATTCCTACATTTAAGTTACCATTTTAGATTAGAGAGATATAAAAATAATCTTTATTTAATCATTTGTCTTGACCCAACTACAGTCTTTATTTAATACATATTTTTTTTAAACAAAAGTCAGATTACTGAAGTTTGGAGGGAATAATTCAAATGTAGCTCTTACCACAAAATTAATATTCAGTGTATTCAGTTATTTTATACAGTACATTTCTAAATCTGTAATTGTGATTATATAATTTTCATACATATTCTAATGTTCCTCTCTCCAAGGGGAATGTAATAATCCAGTCTACATCAGCAATGCCCCTAATAGTGTATTTTAATAAGCCTATAAACAGTTAAATGGTAAGCAAAGTTTAATTACTCCTACCGGTATTAACCTGTACGTTTTTGGGCTTTATGCATGAAAAAATAACAAGCTTCTAAAAACACATTCCAAAAGTGCTACAGAATAGGACACATTTTTGGTACCCTTTAATGATAAAGGAAGAACCCACAATTTCCCCTGAAATAACTAAAAACTGACATGCATTTTGGCATTCATCATTGTGTTTCCACATTCAATAAAAATCATTCTATGCTTTTGATTTTTGATTCAACACATTTTTAAAAAAATGAAAATGGCATTGGCAAAAATCATGGCACCCTTAACCTAATATTTTATTGCCCAACATTTAGAGGCGAACAAGCAATTTCTGTAACTCTCAGTAAGACATCTACACCTGTGCACTATGTAAAGCACTGCGTAAATTGTCGGTGCTATATAAATACCAGTATAATAAATAAAAGAAAAACTAGGATCAGTAAAGAGCTGACTGAAGGTATTTCTGCCCCTATGATTCTGTAAATGACAAGGATTTTGAATTGAAAGGAAACAGTTCTGCTTCAACATATAAAAAGGGGCTCTTCACTGTAAGTTTGATGATGCTCTACAGTTTTCTGTTAAAAGAAGTTGTGATAGCCAACAATTTAAATTATTTTAAATGTGAACGCAGTGCCCTTCTCATGGAATGATTCATCTAGGGAACGTATTAGGCTGCCAATGGTAGGGTTAAGAAAAAGTCCCCCTCCTGTGGGAATAAATTGGTAACTAAATTGCTGGGGTATTCCTCAGCCACCATTTGAATAAACAGTATTAGAACAGTATTCAAAGCGGATGGACTTGATACATTTGATGGAGAACTTTGCATCATAAGAACAACAGCTTGGGAAGGTTAAAAACAAAGGCAAAAAAAGTGTAGCTGCAAGCAACTAATAAGCATAGTTACATCATTAATCAGGTTTAAAAAATACACGTGTCCATTGAGTTCAACCAACTAATCAAAATAAGGATAAAAACCTTGCATCATTAGAACTCTGGACACACAGTTGATTCAGAGAAAGGCACAAAAAACCTTAAAATTGTAGCTCAATTTTCTCTAACGGGGAATCCTGTCACTAAAGGCAATCAGATACTCTCTTGAAAACAATTTTCAGTGGGAATTGTTTTACAAATAATAATATTCAGTTAGAATACAGTTGTAGGAAAAGTATGTAAACCCCTTGGAATTAACTGGTTTTCTGCAGTAATTTGCCATTCAGAAGACAGAATTTTAACATCTAGTCACCTCTCCTATCAAGGAATGTTTTTGTTTCCTTTAAAGGGGTCTCAAACTCAATTCCCTCCAGGGCCACTCAAAAAAATATTTTCTCCCATGGGGGCCGCTCGCCAAATTTCAAACTTTAAAGGAGAACTATGAGGTGAGTGATTTTCACTCAGCCTCATAGTTCGAGCCGAAGTGTGACAATGAAACTGTCTCACGTCGATTCAATAGATCGAGAAGTGAGCGAATGCATATAGTCGCTCGCTCACTTCTCTACCTTGTCCCTGCAGAGAGCCCTGACTGTCAGTCACGGCTCCCTGCAGGGATCCCCCCTCCGATCCTCCAGCGCTGACAGGAGGAACGAACGGGGGAGGGGGCGGGTACAGCTGGCTCTGACTCTAGATGGGCAGAGGCAGCTGTCACTCACGCAGCTTGGGGGATCTCGACAGTAATGTCGGGATCCGTCCCGGCAGCGGCGGTCTCAGTATACCACGAGCTGTAGCTCCTGGTATACTGAGCTTTGGATCACGGGAGGATGCTAGTTTATGTCCTCCCGTGACCCTGAGGAGAACTATGGGGAAAAGCACTTACCCCATAGTTCTCATTTAAAATAAAATGTAACTATATGTGATATGGTACTACGGACCCCAATACACACAATAAGGCCCCATTCATATCTGTAGGTTTAGGTGCAATTAGGGATTCCTGCATCAGAAACTTGCGTTTTCCTGCAGCAGGAATCCCTAATCTGATGTTTACACGCAGCCGCTGTCACCCCCATTCAAGTTAATGATCAGGTGACAGTAGTTGCATTAAATGCCTGCACACCGCATGTAATGATATGTGATATTATTACATGCGGTTAGAAAACACTCTCCCTGGATACACAATCATTGCGTCCAGAGAGAGTGATTGATTCCTAACTGAATGTAATAATATCACATATCATTACATGCGGTGTGCAGGAGTTTATATGCAACTTCTGTCACCTGATCATTAACTTGAATAGGTGACAGGTGCCGCTTTTAAACGCCAGATTAGGGATTTCTGATGCAGGAAACGCATGTTGCTGATGCAGGAATCCATAATTGCACCTAAAGATACAGGTGTGAATGGAGCCTAATACACTTATTAACAGTAAAAAGGTGAGAAAGGAGCAGATAGGCCCAATAAAGGATGAAAGCGTAGTAGCGGCTCGCGGGCCGCAACTGGCCCGCGGGCCGGTACTTTAAGACCACTGCTTTAAGGGAACTCTATCATGAGAGATTATGGAGGCTGTCAATCTCCTTTTATGAATGGTCATTCTCTGATTGTTATGCTGATGCTTTGACTTTAATGCTGTTAGAGCTGCTGACCTGAAACAGCTATAGTAAGTCAGACACAGTCCGGCAACTAGCTTTTAAAAAGGAGGCCAGGGTTTAGTATGGCGCTTATTCCTGTAGCACCCCATTTCTCCCTTGTGGCGATTAGGAACCCTCAGTTGGCTTGGTGGGCTAACATCTCAAACCTCTGGGTGGAATTCTTGACTCTGTGGGGTTAAGGAATTGGGCACCAGTCACCATTGGAAGGTTATGAAATAACAGAAAAGCGACAACATGCAGACTCTGGTTTCTACTTGCAGTCAAAAAATAATATTTAAACCAGACCAGCACTTTGTAGTCTTCAAAATCTAGAGCAAATTTAAGGCAGCACAAGTACCTCCTCTGAAAAAGCCACCAGAATTTCCTGCAATGTTCACGGCTTTCCAGACAGTCTTCAACAGACAGTCTTCACCGCTCCAGTCTAGGCAAGTCTCTTCCTGCTCCCCTTCCCCACGATATAACCTCCGGTAGAACGTCATAATGCTTCAGACCCCAGGCTTGGACCTTTTTCTAGCACAGCACACCCTTCCCAGGAAGCAGGCCTGGGAGGAAGACATAGCTCCTGCAAGATAGCCTCCTCTCTTGGCAGAAGTCCAGGAGGCAAGAGAGCTTCCAGAAGGTCACCCCATACACCCCACTCCATTTATCATCCCCCAGCATGCATCACTGGCAATAAACCCGCTAGTAGTTGGGCAGGGAGACAGAGGGCATTCCCCAACAGCAGATGGAAGCATACCATAACACTGAGCTAAAAGGAAACCCAACAAGCAAAACTATTGATCCCAGCTCAGGTTCACTACAACCTAGCAGAACTACTACATTTAGACTATGGACACTCCTGCTTAGGCAGGGACCCTGCAATGTTATACTAGAAAAAAGTAGAAAGCAAAAACTATAAAATATGAGCCCTTAAAAAAAGAGAACACTAATCTACAAATGAAGACAATCACACCTGTCTGTATAGCATACACTAGTGAATGAGACAGATTTATTAAAAAGTAGTGCGCAGGAAGTGCAGAGAAAAATAATGAAAGAAATATTTAGCATAAAGGCTAAATTAGGATAGCAAGGCCGGTCTTGTCTGCTTCTCTTCTGTAACTAAAGGGAATTCATTTTAAAGAGCTTCCTGAGAGTGAGTGCTCTTTGGGGAGATCTATCTACTTACACTTGGGCTGTTTATTCAATTTTGTTCAATTTTTTTAAAGATTTTACTGCTCAGTTTAATTTTTTTTATGCAGTCTGTTGCACATATGGCTTTGTTGTGGGACCACTCATGGGATTGTGCATTGTTTACAAATAGACTGTGATATAAATAATATTTTTTTATTTTTGCTTTCTTGCTGATTGTATTAAAGATTGGCAATTCACGTGTTATTTATTTCAAGGGGATTAAACCAGATAAAAAGGGAGATCCAAGTGGAAAGTCTGCAGATGACTACTGGCCTGCTTCTAAAAAGATGTTGGGAGACATGAAGTTTTTGGACTCCTTAAAGGTATTGTTAATCTTGGACTGTTGCTTTGGTACTGCTCTATAAATACGTTTTAAGTGTAAGAGATCCAGGCCTATTTTTTAGTTTTGAATATAGTGAGGAAGGACTACAACCTTTGAAAGGTTTTAACTGTTGCTATCTCAAATAGTGATGCAGCAATACATTTTTTTTTGTAGGATGGGGAAAGACTAGAACCATCATCAAATTATTTTCTGGGTCCCATTGGAGATTTTTCCTTACTTGCTGCCCCTACTTGATGTGGTGGTGATATTGTTAACAAAACATGGAGAGGGAAATCTCCCTTTATTGCTGCTCATGTAAAGGTTTCAGGTGATTTACAACTGAACGTACACAAATACAGACTTGGTTGCTAATAAGTACCGTTCTGTATTTCATTGAACAAATAGCCATGTAATAAACCAGAGCACCAGGATACCAGAGTAAAATGTTTGAATCATAGTGGAGTATAGGCATGTTTTTGCTTTTGTATTTCACTTTACTGAGGCAGGTCACTGAAGGATGATTGCTGAATGGTTGAATAGGACTAAAAAACATACAACTAGTAAGTTTAGTCTGTAGAACAATTATGTATTCTCTCTTGCATAGCCTAAGTGCTATAAAGAAAATAAATGGCTTTTCAAATGTAGTAGGTACATTTTTATAAAGTAGTGAATGTGACTTTCACCAAATATAAATATAATATTTGCAGGTGCTTCATCTGTGTTTGTTTTACTGGAATATAGCCAAGCAATAAGATCTGGTGGTCCAGAATCTGTTTTTGTGGCCACATCTGTTCCAGGAAGGCAACTATGAAAGTACTATTAATGGAAGCAGATAAATCCCACCATCATGTATGAAGCAGGGTATGAACTGGATACTAGAAAAACCTTTTATATCAGGCCTGGAACACAAATGGCATCCTTCGGCCTCCTGTTCATACAACATTTTAATAGTTTGCATTATGTTAAGCGGATCAACAAACAACCATCCATATGGATGATCTGGTCAGGTTGTCAGGGAGGCAACTATCACACTTGATCCACATAGTGGAAGAACAACAAAAACTGCCTGGACTTTCAGGCCATGGTGATCACAGACCTGCAGCAACACTTGCACTCTATCCTCTTCACCCAAAGGCCACTACAACACAAGCTGGGAGATCACAAAAACAGGGGTTGCAGAAACTTTGTATCCGCAGCCTGATGGAGGTGACCTCAAATGGGAACTTGGAGGACACACTCCGATGCATATTTAACACTCTCCTTTGGATTCTGCTACTGCCCCACTCCTATTTGATAGAGCTCATGGAGCCCTTTGGCCCTGAGGCCAAAGGGCTCAGGGCCAAAAGACATTCCCCATGATGTGATCTGAACAACTTTATGATAAGGTAGTGATTTTATTCAAACTACATAACTCATCTACAATAGACTGTGATGGTGCTAGTCTCCAAATATTTCCAGACATACATCTATCCTGAGATATCCAGAGGATTGGTTCCAGTTATGTGAGGAGCTACTGGGTTAGCAAGAAATCATTCCCTCCTTTGCCTCACTCGCTGACCAGATTTAGGCTCAAATAAAATTACACACCCCTCTTGAACATTGATGAATTTGGACACTTTCATCTCCTAGATGGGCAAAATCAATGTATTCAAAATAAACATTGGTCCAAGGTCCTATCTCCCTTCCAAACTGTGCCCATAGCCCCTATCCCCCATTTTTATAAAACCCTACAGAAAATATTTTGCAGATTCATATGCATTTGCAGTCAGTCAAGTCTTCCACCTGGTCATTTTTGGGGATAAAATGAATGGGGGACTAGCCCTACCCAACTTTTATTTGTTTTATCAGGCTGCCTCTCCCAACAGGGTTATGAACTGGAACAGGCTTTATGCCTCTTTACCATGACATGAATTCCCCCAAATTACAGGCTTCTACACAATTCTACATTGCCGCTAACAAGGGCAACTCGGCATATGGAACAAAGTTCATAGAAAGCAGATATTAAAGCTCTACACTTCCACATCTCTTAAATGGTGCAAAGGCACTTACAACAGGATGCTGGAATAAAGCTAAGATCCTAAAGATTATAGAGTGGATTCTTAAAGTAGAACACAATCGCTTAAATGAAGAGCTCAGCCATTCTATAAGAGATACATCTCCTGTCATTGATCAAACCTAGGAAAAATGGACCGATTTTAAATCCACTCTGGAATCTGAATATCTTTTCAGGGATGAAGCCTTAATCAAGCCTGTCTAGGGTCTACCACTCCAAACCTGCATACTGATGGTGTGATCTTAGCCAGGGAAGCAGAATGTTATTAAATTTCTGTTGGCTGTCATTTTAAAATCATACATTCTGATATTGTTACCAAGTTGTAGAATACTCCATATGGGCTTGTTTATTTCAAATTCGCTGTCTCACTGGTGCTGTTAATCAACCCTTCCTTTTCTTTTCCTTGCTCCCTACTTCTTTAACCTTCTCTAATTTTTTTCACTCTACACTTTCAAGGCATTGTGCTACTTCTGGAAAGTTTGGTAAAGTTGTACGTATAATCCTTATTTTTCTTTCTTGTAAAATGATTCATTTTCATGTGCTCAATGTTTAACGCCTCTTGAAGTCTTAACCTATGTTACCTATGTAATATAGAATATGTGTTTCTGCTTAATAAATATGACTGAAGAAAAAATATTTTCATAAACAGAGATTGAATAAATAAAATATAAATTCTAGCTGCGGTTGTATTTTAGGATATTTATGAATTTTTCATATATTTAGAAATGATGTGCAGTATTTTGCCAGTTATAAGACTTTCATTCTGTTATTTTTTAAATTTTGAACCACCTTTATGAAGAGAAATGTTTAAAAAGCATCAAATCTTAATTAAATAATGGTTCTGGGACCATGCTGGAAGAATGAACCGGGATCATTCTAGACTTGAGAGGTTTGATAAAACCCAAAAGTTAATTAAGAATTAATTGAAGATATGAAAAAAAACCTGACATGTCACTGGCCTTTGATGGATAAGTTGGATCATTGTGCTCATGGGGTTACAGTCTCTAGAACAATTTAAAAGCCTATGAAGAGTAAGGCAAAGTAGCAAAGGGAAAGCGATTGCTAAGGCTATGCCATGTATCTAATACATGCCCGTTAACTGAGCAATATAGTGTCAAGGTATGAAGGTATGCCAGGGTCATTCTAATTTTTTTCTAAGTGGAAAATCTAAAGACACAGTAATATTTGAGATCTGCATTGCTTTCAGTTTAATATTAAAGTGAACCTTGTAAAAACACTACATGAAAGCAATAATGTCTGCAACTATTATGCCCATTGCTATTATTCCCCCCTCTCCAAAAAAAATCAGTAACTGGGCTATGTGTTCATGTCTGATTTATTATTGTATATTTCTGGTTAGGTTTACTCTCTACATGCAACAGATTTCGTCAATGCAGTTCACCCACAGCAAGGGCTCCGGGCACGGTGGTGGCAGAACTTCAGTTTTGCATGCATGGTAGTTCACAAAGTTAACTTCCCCGTGGAAAAACAAACTATAATATATTGCTACCTATAAACATTGCTACACCAAATCCAGGATCTATATTTCAATTAGCCTACCATAACATACCTATTAATGTCTTGATGTTTGTCAACCTCAGGCTTATGCAGCATTCCAGATGGTCACCTTTTAGTCCACTGCTATACCTGTTTTTGATTGAAGCCAAACTCTGGAAAAAATAATAATTTACACACTGCATAGGTTGTACATTATCATTACAAAACTGCATGATATGTGTGGAAGTATAGTGAAGTATGTGAAGCATAAAAATCTTACCTTGCAGCATGCACTAGGCATGTGCACCAGCAAAAAATTTGTTTTGATTTGGATTTTCGTTATTTCATTTTTCGGATTCGGGTCCGCAATTGAATTTGTTGCGGGATTCGGATTCGGATGAAAATCGTTAGCAGTAGTCGTTTTTCGGATTCGGGTCCGCAATTGAATTTGGATTCGGCCGAAATTCGTTAGCGGTAGTCCGGTCTAAATTTTGTTTATTGGACGAAATTTCGTTAGCAGCAAAGTGACATTAGAAAAAAAAGAGGCCCTTGTCCCCATCGGCACGGGGACACCATCCCAATGCCCAGGGCACGTGGCCTGGTAAGGCGCAGGGAGGGGGGGCGCTCGATCTCCCCCCCTTTCCTGCCCTGCCGGGCCAGTACTTGGATCAAGGGTCTGGTAGGACTGTTAGGGGGGACTGCACGTTTTTTCCCCCCATTTTTGGGGGCTGGGGTTCCCCCTTAAAATTCCTACCAGACCTAAAGGGTCTGGTAGGGATTTTGGGGGGAACCCCATGCACTTTTTTTTGTTTTAACTTGGGGGAGGGTCCCTCCTAACATTCCTACCAGGTCCTAAAGGGTCTGGTATGAATTGGGGGGGAACCTCACGCTTTTTTTTTTCATCTTCTGCAGATTGTTAAAAAAAAACATTTTTTTTCTAATGTAACTTTGCTGCAACTAAATTTCGTCCAATAAACGAAATTTCGACCGGACTACCGCTAACGAATTTCGGGAAATCGGGAATTCGGATTCGTTATAGCTGTAATTTGGAATTCAGATGCATCCGAATCTCCGAACTTCCGAAATTTCATCTGAATTTCGATTCGTTTGTATTCGTTTTAAATGTAATTCAGAATTCGGATGCATCCAAATCTCCGAATTTCCAAAAATTCGTCCGAATTTCGATTCAGAACGAAATTAATTGCACATGTCTAGCATGCACTCTTCCACACATAATGCCATTCGGCTGGGCACTGTAGTTAGTGAGGAATGCAACTCAAGCGGTGAAGTGCTCTGGTGCTATTTGCCCATTCCCAAAAAGAGAGGATGGGGATGTTACATCATATCTCATCCTCCATTCACAAAATGCCTTATATTCTTAGGAAAAACAAGGAATTTTTTAAATGGGCAGGTAGTGAAGAGGGGTGGATGATGTGACTTGAGCACTTCAC